TTGCTCAGGCCAGTCTCCAACTCCCCACTTCAGGTGATCCACCCGCCTCGGCCTCCCAAAGTGCTGGGATTACAGGTGTGAGCCACCATACCCAGCCTTTATTTTTCTTTATTTTTAAAAAATGTGCAATAAGCATGTGATTAATGTCATAATGGGGTGGGGGAATCCATATATATCCTTTAGGTGTTTTAGAACGATTGTTTCTTAACACAGAGAATAGCTTGGAGAACAGTTAATAATTTTATCAACCAGGAACCCATGGAGATTGCTCATGTCTTTTCCTTCCAGGGCAGGGTTTGACAGAGAAGAGAGTCCCCAGTACTGAAAGGGTTTTGTGGACTGCAGGAGGCACTTGGGCTTATGCCCTGTGTGTCTGTGTGTGTCTCAGAGAGAGGAGAGGCATTTATGCCATTCCAATTCAATTTAGTCCATTTGTATCAATTCATCTGGAACTGTGCCTAATCACAGGTTAGGTCTCCAGGGTGAAAAGGCATTTCCACTTTGCCCAAGTTACTCAGCTTCTATGTCCCACAGAGGACAGCGATTTCATGAGGACAGAAATTCCATCCACTTGGTTCACAAAATCCCTAGCACCAAATACAGCACCTGGCACTTATGAGACGCTCACTATCATGTATGTTGAGGAATGAAACAAGGGCTGACACTCTGGAAATGCATCAGCTTTTCCCTTGAAAGCGCATTGGAATCTTTCATTGCAATGCTCTTTTGTTAGTTGAACTCTTAGGTAATACGAGGTTTTAGTCTGTGTTCATGCTGCTAATAAAGACATACCCAAGACTGGGTAATTTAAAAAGGAAAGAGGTTTAATGGACTCACAGTTCCACATGGCTGAGGAGACCTCACAATCATGGTGCAAGGTGAATGAGGAGCAAAGTCACACTTTACATGGTGGCAGGTAAGGGAGAGCATGTGCAAAGGAACTCCCCTTTATAAAAACATCAGCTCTCATGAGACTTATTCACTATCACAAGAACAGCAAGGGAAGGACCCATTCTCATGATTCAATTACCTCCCATCCAGTCCCTCCCACCACATGTGGGAATTATGGGAGGTACAATTCAAGATGAGATTTGGGTGGGGACACAACCAAACCATATCACATGGGCTCACAAATTCAAAGTAAAAAATCCAGAGATGGCCAGAAAAGGAACCAATGTAATAGAATTATCAATGGGTGTAATAAGCAATGAAATATTGGCTCCTCTAATTTTTGCTGTTTATTCATTCATATTTACCAAGCACATACCATATGCCAGATATTGTGCTAGGATATTGAAGATATTAATACAAGCTCTTAATCTGGCCATGATAATGGGATAAATAGAGTATCCCTAGAATTAATCTTACCCATTAATAATAACAAATAGTATCCAGCACTATGTTCCAGGCATTGTTCTGAGTTGTCTCCATGTATTGTTTTATTTATAGTAATATTATTTTATCTCTATTTTACAGACGAGCAAGCTGAGATTCAGAAAGGTTAAGTAATTTCTTTGTTCATGCTTCCCAACCAGCCAGGGATGAAGATCAGGCTTCAATTTCTGCCTTCTGACAGCTCCCCTCACCCTCTTAACGGGTCCCAGGGAGTTTTCCCACAAGTGATCCTGAGATCACAGGTCTCCAAATCCCCAGGGATGCTGGATAAAAATGCAGATTTCCAGGCTCAGGGCTGAGGAATCAGAATCTACAGGAGGAAAGTCTGGAAATCACCACTAATCCAGGTAATTCAGTTGTGCAGTAAAGTTTGTACAAAATAGAACTCAAATATGCTGCCATCACCCCAACCGTGAGTTCACAAAATCGCTAGCATCAACCACATCTCCCACTCCCACTTCCTACCAAACAATGAGCAGGAGGAAGAAACAGAATAGGAAGAAGGGAAAGGGAAGGGAAGGGAAAGGAGGAACTTGCCCCGAATTGGGCTCCATTTTGGTTTAGGGAAGATCGATGCTCAGCCCTCTGCTCTTCTGGTTCTCGGACTTACAGAACTACTGTCCCCCAGCTTTAGAAGCAGCTGCTGATGGGCCTGACAAGCCTCAGCAGGAGGCACCCTGAACGGCTGGTGACGTCTGCCCAGCTGGAGCAGCTGAAGCAGCAGCCGAAATCCTGGATGCTCATCCCTTCTCACATCAGAATACAGCTGCTCTGGGTCATCGCCCAGTGAGCAGGGTCCATCATCTGTAGACAGGGAGGATTCAGCCAAAAGGACTCATGGCAGGAAGGAGGAGTAGAGACGACAGCCCTGGCTCCAAACAGGCTACGTGATGCTAGAATGGGGATGCAAAGCTCCATGCCATGGGAAGAGCGGTGTGAGGATGGGGCCTGCAGGGCCCTGGAGGGGAAATCCACCACTGGTTCTCACCAGCAAAGCATGTGGCCACTGTGAGCCCCAGCCTTCTCATTTGTAAAAGGAAAATAGCCATTATTGTAGGAAGCTATGAATACTGCTGCCTGTGATTTATTGAACATTTTTTGTATGTCAGACACTGTCTTGAGTCAATCGTTCAATCTTCATAACAAATATCTATTAAATCATTCTGATCCCCATTTGACAGATGGAAATGAGTCTTAGGTTAAGAAACTTGCCCAGGCTGGGTGCAGTGGCTCACACTTGTAATCCCAGCACTTTGGGAGGCCGAGGCGGTTGGATCACTTGAGTTCAGGAACTTGGGACCAGACGGCCCAACTTGGTGAAATCTGTCTCTACTAAAAATGCAAAAATTAGCTGGGTGTGGTGGTGCACACCTGTAATTCCAGCTACTTGGGAGGCTGAGGCATGACAATTGCTTGCAACTGGGAGGTAGAGTTTGCAGTGAGCCTAGATCATGCCACTGCACTCCAGCCTGGGCAACAGAGCAAGACTCTGTCTCAAAAGGAAAGGAAAGGAAAGGAAAGAAAGGAAAGGAGAGGAGAGGAGAGGAGAGGAGAGGAGAGGGAAAAGCGGGAGGGAGGAAAGGAAGGAAGGAAGGGAGGAAGGAAGGGGGAGAGAGAGAAAGAGAGAGAGAGAGAGAGAAAGAAAGAAAGAAGGAAAGAAAGAAAGAAAGAAAGAAAGAAAGAAAGAAAGAAAGAAAGAAAGAAAGAAAGAAAGAAAGAAAAGAGAAGAAAAGAGAAGAGAAGAGAAGAGAAGAGAAGAGAAGAGAAGAGAAGAGAAGAGAAAAGAAGAGAAGAGAAGAGAAAAAGAAACTTGCCCGATATTTCCTAGCAGGTAACCAGTGAAGCCAGGATTTGATCCCAAGTCTGTCTGATGCCAAAGCCTGTCCTCCTAATAACATCCACAGCTTCTCCAGTGTCCCTTCCCCTTCTTGTTTCTGTGACTAAATGCCCTGAACCATGTGGTCTTCGTGGTTTCAAGGAAAAGAGGCACCACTGTCTTTCTAGCCCCACATTGACAGTAAAAATGCGTTAGTTCCTCTGTGTCTGGCAGAGACTCAGAAAGATGTAGCATGCAGCCAGCGGAAGCACTGTCAGTACACAAGGAGCCCCACGGGTATCTAGCAAACAGACCAAGTCTCAGCACAGCCAAGCAGCACGTCAGAAATGCAGGTTCCACAGCCATTGTCGTCTGCTTTCCAAAGGGTCTGAACTGAGGAGATAATCTGTGCAATGGAGGCTGAAGGGCTTTCCAGCACCACAGAGCTTCATGGAACACCCAGACCCCTGAGTTGGTCCCCCTCTCTGATCTCATGTCCTGCTGTTTGCCCCTCACTCACTCCTGCTTCTATCTACTCGTACCTCAATGGGGCCACCCTCATTCCCACCTCAGGGCCTTTGCACGTGCTGTTACCGCTGCTAAAAATACTCTTCCTTTTGCCTGGGAGAAGCTGTCCCTGGATCTTCACAAGACTTTGTCCTCCTTGTGGTTCAGGTCTCAGATCACAGTCCCCTCCTTGAGAGACCTCTCCTGACTACCCCTTCTAAATTAGCAGCCCCAGGCCAGGTGCAGTGGCTCACAACTGTAATCCCAACACTCGGAGGCCAAGGCAGGAGGATTGCTTGAGCTCAGGAGCTTGAGACCAGCCTGGGCAACACAGCGAGACCTCCTCTATTCTAAAACTAAAAAAATCAGCTGAGCTTAGTGGTGTGTACCCGTAGTCCCAGCTACTCAGGAGGCTAAGGTAGGAGGATTGCTTGAGCCAGGGAGATGAAGGCTGCAGTGAGCCATGATCGCACCACTCCACTGCAGCCTGGGGGACAGAGCAAGACCCTGTCCCCGCCCCCCAAAAAATCAGTCCCTAATCTGTTTGTATACATCACGTCTCCCTGCTTTACTTCCTTCATAGTACTTACTACCTGAAATAATTCTGTTCATTATTTGCTGACATGATAGAAAAGTGCCTGGCAAATGATTGACTCTCAATGAAGATGTGCTGAATGCAAAACTTCATGAATGACGAGGAAATCTTACTAACATCTTTTGTAATAAGGACCCAGGTACCTATGTTCAAAAGTACCTCAAACCTTCTAGTTAACAAGGGCAGAGACCACGAGAAACAACACTGTGTTTAGTAGCAACTTAACAACCAGCCAGCAGTTCTATCCACAGACACACCACCGGGCATGGTTCCAGAACTAAAAAGGCACTAATTGCTTTTCTATAAGGAGGTAGAACACAGTCCCTCCGTGTTCTTTAGGCCTGATGGTCTGCATTATCGGATCTGTTACCGTGTTAATTGTTCCTGTCTCATACAGCCAGTTTGGGCTTTCTTCTGCACATGTCTTGGATGGTGACAGGTTCCTATATAGAGGAGTACTGGGGAAGCCTGTGTGTGTGTGTATGTGTCTGTGCATGTGTACACATGTGTGTATAAAAGCAGCCACACTCTGAGAATGGTTAACGGGCAACCAGGCTGTCTGTGCTCAGGGCCCTAAGACTGGCCCAGGAAAGGACCGGGGGGGGGGGGGGGGTGGGGGGTGAAGGTGGAGCGGGCTTCACTTGCGCTCACTGCCTTTTCCACAACAGGAGTGCAAATGCTTGCCCAGCTGGAGTGAGTGTGGTGAACTCAAGTCGCCTTTAGGAATGGCTGAAAAAGCCCACACCTGGAAATCACTCCCTCCCTGCTCCTCCACGGCAGGTTGCATTTGGGAGACGCTTCAGTCATTAGAGAAATGAGCCGGGAGTGAGCAATTCACCAGCTCTCCAGCACTTGGTGGAAAGCAGCAGGCAAGGATGGATGTGGTTGACAGCCTTCTTGTGAATGGAAGCAACATCACTCCTCCCTGCGAACTCGGGCTCGAAAATGAGACGCTTTTCTGCTTGGATCAGCCTCGTCCCTCCAAAGGTAAGTGTCGGAAGCTGTTATTTTAATCCAGGAAACTACTGAGTTGCGGGAGAAATCAGCAAAGGCAAGGCTGATTAAAAAAATACACATAACCAAGTCATTGTGAGACAAGGCTGGATAAAGTCATATGTTCAGAAGTTTGCAGAAGAGATTAACAAGCAGAATAGAGTCAAATATTCTCATTGTCCCCCATGGGAGAGTTGGGCATTCATGAATAGGACTTGAGGGAACAAAAGCAGGGGAGGAAAAGCTGAGTGAAGCAAGAGGGAGTACAAGTGTCAAAGCCTGAACTTACAAGCACAGCAGAAAAGGTGTTGTCACCATGCAGCCGTTTTCTTTTCTTGGGGGGAAACCAGCATGAAGTGGTTACAGTGAAATCATGCTTAGCAGCCAGGAAAGAAAGTGATCACTGTTCACTTGAGGAGCTTTGTTCTTAAGAAAAAGTGGTTCCCTGAGTGATCCTTTAACAAACCAACCTTCTACAAACAAAATAATTCAGTCTCTGCTTTCCTCAGTTTGTTTCTGCAAAATGTTGTCAGGACAGGAATGGTGGGTCCAGTGATGTACACCCCGGTGAGGGGGGAAATCAGCAGGAAATCACCCTTGGCTTCGGTTTTAGCATTCTGCTCTCATCACCTCCATCCCTCCGTCTTGCTCCTGTTACTGTCTGCAGAGTGGCAGCCAGCGGTGCAGATTCTCTTGTACTCCTTGATATTCCTGCTCAGCGTGCTGGGAAACACGCTGGTCATCACCGTGCTGATTCGGAACAAGCGGATGCGGACGGTCACCAACATCTTCCTCCTCTCCCTGGCTGTCAGCGATCTCATGCTCTGCCTCTTCTGCATGCCGTTCAACCTCATCCCCAATCTGCTCAAGGATTTCATCTTCGGGAGCGCCGTCTGCAAGACCACCACCTACTTCATGGGTAAGTTGCTGCTGGTGACTCTTTCTGGAGCTTGCCCCAGACCCCACTCAGCCCCAGACCTTCCCAAACCTCTGACAATCACAGCAGAAGAGCTCTGCTGAGGGCTGAATCACAGAACATTAGGCTGTGCACGGCTGTGTGCAAGGACATTGGTGCTGACTTGACGGTCATCCTTATACGTTCCCTGTAAGTCGGTCCCCATCATCCACGTTGGAGGTCAGTTTCTAAGAGTGAAATACATTGATAGGAAAACACAGCAGTTAATTTTGCTTGATTCTATTTGAAGGGAAGAGGGACTTGCTTCCTTCTGTGTGAAGTCAAAAGTGACTTTAAGCTGCTCTATCCCTTTCTGGAAGCTGTTGACTGTGTCCTGAGCTATACCCAACTTGAGTCCTGGCTTCTAGGGCGGGTAAGGATTATGGAGGAGGGTTCTTTGCCATTGTTCCTCTTGTTTTCTTAGGGAACAGGGGCTATTTGAAAACCAGTTCTATCACAGTTCCAGATTCTCTTGCCAGGATTCACTTCTCAGCCTGCTCTCCCCAAAGCTGGGACCATCTCTGGCAGAGGGAGAGAGGTCTCTGCCCCTAGATGAGGAGTTGAATTTGCTCCTGGGGGCTGTGGGGTCACTAAGCGGACCCTGATTGGCTGAGATATGTAGCTGTTTGCCTATGCCAAACAAAAATGATGATAATGAAAATCATAAGAGCTAAATTTTCTGTGCTTTGATGCACCCCATGTGGTGCTAAGCGCTTTGGCTTTCATGATCTTCCCTTACCTCCCAACCACTCTATGAAGTAAATGCAATGATTCTTCCTTGTCTCATTAAGGAGGAAACAGAGGCACAGAGAGGTTCATAATGTGCCTAAAGCCACACAGATGGTAAGCAGCGGAGCTGAGATTTGAGTCCAGATTAGTAGCCACACAGTGGTGAGCATGCTACCTCAGTTTGCCAACTGCTGTGGTTCTCCTGGAGTTGAACAAAAACACATTTCTTGGTCCCCTCTGGGTGCCAGATTGCCTAGTCCCTTGCCCTTTCTGAGAATTAGTTGGGAGAGGGGCAGAGGTGGGAAATAAGCAGGGAGTTATTTTTGTTCTGACCCAAGCTTTGAAGAATATGCAGCAGTGAGCTGGGCTAGGGTAGTCTTCAATGACTGGAAGGCTTTAAAAGTCTTCGTTTTTCCCAGTTGAGGAAGTGGGATTCCACACTGACAAAATGATGATGAATTTCTGACCCTCGTGCCACCAAAAACCAAGAATGTGTCAATCCGTGTCCAAGTCCTCTGGAAAAAAAAAAAAAAAAAACAGGACGAAACTTACAAAGGACAAAGATCATTGTTAAATAATGAAGCAATAATAATAACTAGTGCTGTAGACATCTGACGCCCATCCATATATATCTTATGGTAATACTATTTGGGAACCTTAACCGGAGAATGTGAACCGAGGTTTAAAACGAGTGTTTTCATGGTGGCAAAACATTCTGAGTGCCACAAAGTTGTTCAGTTTGAAATGTTTAATTTTATGTTATGTAAATTTCAACAGCATAAAAACAATTTTATTCGCCAAAAGAAAAGAAACATCATTCTGAAAGTATTTGCAATACCATAATAATTTTGTTGGATTTTTAATTCCAATAATTTAGGTTCTTCTCTTAATTTTGCAGTCTCCTCAATACTAATAATTAACATTGATTAGCTCCTAATTTGTAGCAACAAGAAAAAGAATGCTTGCCTGCCAGTGAGTTTATAGTTACTGAGGATCCATTACACAGAACTGACTCTTAGAGAGTTTTGGGCTATACTCTCGACTCTAAATGTCATCAGCTCTTTAGGGTAAAATCCAGTAAAACACAGCAAATCCTATCCCCAGAACATGAGTTTTTAGTTAATGGTTTGGGGGTCATAGACTTCTTTAAGACTCTAAGGAAAGCTAGAGCCAGGCTCCCTAGAAAAGTGACTTTTTTGGATATAGTTTCAGAGAATTAGTTTATATCCATAAGAATAATGAGAAACTAAGGACCCCAGTTTCAGGACCTCTGCTCCCAAATTTATATTAATTCGGAGGTTTAAGAAATCTTGGTAAGAGATATTCAGAAGAATTGACAGAATTTATAGCGGAAGGACTCTACAGGGAATTTTAAGGGAATAATAGGACATTTTAATAAGTATGCATATACAAATACAAAAATAATAGAAATTCAGCTTTTTGGACAAGAAGCACATGATTTTATTTATTTTTTATTTTAATTTTTATTTTTTCCATAGGCCATCTACGACCAAGAAGTACATGATTTATCTTATTTTATTGTTGAGACAGAGTACCTCTCTGTCACCCAGGCTGGGATGCAGTGGTGCGATCTTAGCTCACTGCAACCTTGGCCTCCCAGGTTCCAGCGATTCTTCTGCCTCAGCCTTCCAAGTACCTGGGATTACAGACACATGCAGCCATGCCTGGCTAATTTTTGTATTTTTAGTAGAGATGGCATTTCACCATGTTGGCCAGGCTGGTCTCGAACTCTTGACCTCAAGTGATCTGCCTGCCTCGGACTCCCAAAGTGCTGGTGTTACCAGCATGAGCCACCACACCCAGAAAAGAAATACATTATTTTAAATGAGGTGTGTTTGATACCTTTCTCACTGTAATGGTGATGCTTGCCCCTTCTACAAAATACAGAAAAACAAAAACAACGAGACAGGAGACTTTATAGTCCCCCATCCAGAGAAACCTTTAGTTAGCGTATGGGGCATTTTCCCTTGTCTTTTTACTACTTATTTTTTACAACAAGCTGCATTTTGAAATATAGATTGTTTCACTATTAAGAACAGTATGTACTCAAAATTTTTAGAAAAAGCCTTCATGCCTCCAGCTCAGGTCACAGTGACCATTCAGGGTCAGAGAACGCTTGAGAATCTCGGGTTTTTAAAGTCAACTGAACTATGCAGACCATACTCAAAATTAGAGCTTTTCTTCAGATTTTAGAGAAACCTTTTCTGTGGGTGCAAGAACAAATTTCATCCCCTTGGTTATTAATTAATGAGCGCCTTGAGCCTAAGCAGGTGTTAGGTGATAATCAAAGCTCAATAAACTTATTAAAAATTGGCAATGAGATGTATTTACAAATCCATTTCTTTAACTGCCTTAAACCCTTTCTGGAACAAAGCTGAGAATAAATCGTCTTTTAAAAATATACATACACAATATTTCTTTAACTTCTAAGCGTTTTCCTTTGATATCAAACCTGTGCGGATTAGATATATTCAAGCTAATGTGCAAATAAACTTTGGATTTCAGAGTCAACATAACCGGCTTCTTTGTTCCTTTCCCAGGCACCTCTGTGAGTGTATCTACCTTTAATCTGGTAGCCATATCTCTAGAGAGATACGGTGCGATTTGCAAACCTTTACAGTCCCGGGTCTGGCAAACAAAATCCCATGCTTTGAAGGTGATTGCTGCTACCTGGTGCCTTTCCTTTACCATCATGACTCCGTACCCCATTTATAGCAACTTGGTGCCTTTTACCAAAAATAACAACCAGACCGCGAATATGTGCCGCTTTCTACTGCCAAATGATGTCATGCAGCAGTCCTGGTAAGGTTGCATTGTTTATTTTTAAAAATACAACTTGACGTAATTTTGCAATATTATGAAAAACTGAGATGCCTTGTCCAGAGTGGTTGGGGGATCAGTTTCCTGGAGACTTTTTGAGGAAGTCATTCCAGCCTTGTTCTAGGATAATCACGATAGCAAACACTTAGCTGGGGAGCCCTGTTATAAATGCCATGAGTATATTCATTCAGTCAATCCTGTGAAAACACTCTAAGATAGGTATTACTGTTACTGTGCCCATTTTGCAGTTGAGGAAACTGAGACTTGGAAAGGTTAAGTTTCCCAATTCACAAACCTAAGGAAGAGGCAGAGCCTCTGTGTTCAACCATCATGTAGTATGCTTTTCAATGCTATAGTGGAGGGTTAGGCTAGATTAATTGTAGAGCTATGATTTTTTTTTTTTTTCTTTTTTTGAGATGGAGTTATGCTCTTGTTGCCCAGGCTGGAGTGCAATGGTGTGATCTTGGCTCACCACAACCTCTGCCTCCCGGGTTCAAGCAATTCTCCTGCCTCAGCCTCCTGAGTAGCTGGGATTACAGGCATGCACCACTATGCCTGGCTAATTTTTTTTTTATTTTTAGTAGAGACAGGGTTTCTCCATATTGGTCAGGCTGGTCTCGAACTCCTGACCTCGGGTTATCCACCCGCCTTGACCTCCCAAAGTACTGGGATTACAGGCGTGAGCCACCGTGCCTAGCCTTCTTTTATTTAATAAAATTTTTACTTTAAAATAGAGATTAGGTCTCACTATATTGCCTAGGCTGGTCTTGAATTCTTAGGCTCAAGTGATCCTCCCGCTTTGGCCTCCCAAATGCTGGAATTACAGGCATGAGCTACTGCACCTGGCAATGATTTTCTAAAGAATTAAGACAGAGCAGGGAATGAGTCCCAAATCCCACATGGTTTTTCTTAGAGTTGCAGCAGCTCCGGTACTTACCCAGAGCATTTTACCAGAAATAAAAAGGCAAGATTGTAATACTGGTTCCTTTGCTTACTAACTGGGGACCTTGGGCAAGTTCACATAAGCTCTCTGAACGTCAGGTTCCTTATCTCTATTAGGAGTTTAAAATGTAGATATTTAAAAAATCTCCCTCATTGGGTGGCTGTAAGATACAAAAGAGAATGTGTGCATAAAAATATCATGATAAAAAAAGGCTACACAAATTGCAGGGTATTATATTTACCAATTCCAAGGATGTTTTAGAAGCAGGGAACTAGACATTGAGTAACAGCCCCAAACTGAGATCATCTCTGCTTTTTTTTTTTGCTTTCCTCCTTTCATTTCAACCAAGTAGCACACACACAAAGGAATTACGTTGCAAATGAGAGGAATATTTCCAAGGCTTGAAAAGGAATCTTATCAAAACATGTCAAATTGAAATGAGAAATGGCCCAGCCACCATAAGCCTCTGACAATTTTATGGCCTAATCGTGTAACCTCACACATGCCAGACTGCAGAAGTGATTTAGGGGCCAGACTCATAAAGAAGGAGGCTGTGATTCCTCAGGAATCAAAGATGTTTAGAGAAAGCATAGCTCTACCCAGCCAGGCACTAGAATGACGATGCCACTGTGCCAGCCTCACGGGGTCATGGAGAATGGACGCCCATGTAAATGTCTGAGCTGCTTATGGGTCAGAAACAGCCAGAACGGCATGTTTTGTAAGACTCAGGAGGTTTTCCATTGTCCCTGCCTAAGCACTTGATTACTCTGTTGTTTGACAAATGGTATACTGTGATGCTTAAAAAGCATAGCTTCTAGGTTCTCGAATCATATTTTGGGGGTTCAAATTCCACCTCTGCTACCAGCTGTGTGACTTTGGACAAATTATTTAAGCTCTTTAAGTCTCAGTTTCCTCCTCTCTACTATAGGTATTAAGACAGTAGCACCTACCTCAATGGTTATTATGAGAGTTAAATGTAATGATGTATGTAAAATGCTTAGCCTATATGTAGCACATAGAAATCCTCGATGTAAGTCATTTTTAAAGGTTTTTAAAACAGCTTTATTGAAATGCTATTCACATACTCTCATTTTTTAAAGCTTACATTCTTTTTAATACATAGACTCCTTTCAAGCACAGAATTACACCAAACTTTTCCAATTAAACTAGTCCTTCATCAGAGACTTCATCTAAAAAAAGAAAAGAAGTAAACAACGTATAATGACTGAATCGCCAGACATGAAGTTGCCAAGGATATTAAATACTAGTAATTAATGCGTTTGCTCAGGCCAGTAAAAATAAACATAAACCCTATTCATTCCTTCCCATTTGAGTTTGAAGGCCTAAAGTTGCTGGTTATTGGATTTCTTCTGATTTCATTAGGCACACATTCCTGTTACTCATCCTCTTTCTTATTCCTGGAATTGTGATGATGGTGGCATATGGATTAATCTCTTTGGAACTCTACCAGGGAATCAAATTTGAGGCTAGCCAGAAGAAATCTGCTAAAGGTAACTATCTTGTAGCTGTGTGTTTATGCCAAATGAGCACAGAAGCTTGTTTCCTATCATTTAAATAGAAATACCCGAGTTTGTGTAAAGTTTGTTGGAAAATTTTTTAAGTATTCTTATGAGACTCTGTGTCAAGAAGCACAGTCATGAGGCCCAGTGTCTCCATTTTCTCATCTGTAGCATGGGGAAATCTTTCCTTTCAAAAGCGTTCTGAGTGGAATAAAGTAACACACACATAACCCAATAACAAGCCGAGGCCTCTTCTGTGCCGGAAGTTCTGTAGTGCTGTATTCAAACAGAGCCCCTTCCACAACCAAAGCTACCTGTAATTCCAGCCTGTTTTGCGTCTCTCCAAAGGCACTGGAAGGGATTTGATTCCTAACCCACAGCCGGGTTTTTGTTGTCTCCTTCTCCTCATCCTCTCTCCTCCTTTTTATTCTCACCCTGCAGTGGCCACAAAGCCTCACTCCTTCTCCATTCATTACAATCCACTGTCCATGAAAATTGACCTCGACACCGTGTTGACATAGCTTTTCCCTTCTCACTCCATGCCCTAACTCAGCTCTCTACTGCATAGATAACTGAGTCTCTCTAGCTTCTTTGGTTTTCATGGGCTTTTTTCTTCTTATCCAAATTCCTCATAATAAAAGCAATCTGGAATCTTACCCAGCAAGCCCGAACCTTCCCTCTGGGGAGCTAAGGAAGGGAAGGAGAAGAGTGTGAATATTCATTCTTTAATCATTTTTTTCTTGTAAGCTACATGCATAAGATATTGTTTTTATCATATATTTTGCTCATTTTAAGTCGCTTTTCATTAAAGGGAAGAACTAGTATAGATCAATGCTTACCCATGTCAGTGTAAGGCCAGGTCGTCTGCCATTTTTCAGTTCCTTTTTGGTTTGGCCTTCTTCATGGAGGGGAGTGGGGGCTCCATGCCTTCTACTGGGCATGACCCATCCCCAACAATGAGTGGTCTCTTGCCCACCCAGAAAGGAAACCCAGCACCACCAGCAGCGGCAAATATGAGGACAGTGATGGGTGTTACCTGCAGAAGTCCAGGCCCGCGAGGAAGCTGGAGCTCCGGCAGCTGTCCACCGGCAGCAGCAGGGCCCACCGCATCCGGAGCAGCAGCTCCGCAGCCAACCTGATGGCCAAGAAGCGGGTGATCCGCATGCTCATCGTCATCGTGGTCCTCTTCTTCCTGTGCTGGATGCCCATCTTCAGCGCCAACGCCTGGCGGGCCTACGACACCGCCTCTGCGGAGCGCCGCCTCTCAGGGACCCCCATTTCCTTCATCCTCCTCCTGTCCTACACCTCCTCCTGTGTCAACCCCATCATCTACTGCTTCATGAACAAACGCTTCCGCCTCGGCTTCATGGCCACCTTCCCCTGCTGCCCCAATCCTGGTCCCCCCGGGGCGAGGGGAGAGGTGGGGGAGGAGGAGGAAGGCAGGACCATAGGAGCCTCTCTGTCCAGGTTCTCATACAGCCATATGAGTGCCTCGGCGCCACCCCAGTGAGCTGTCCCCTGACCTTCCGCTGCAGAAGGAAGGAGGGGAGGAGGCAGAGGAGGAAGAACAGAAGAAGAGATCAGGAAGAGAAGGAAGCAGGGGTGATGGAGAAGGAAGGTTCCATCTCCAGTGGGAACTCTTCAAGGTCTGCTTTTCATCCTTCATCTGGATTCCAGAGCACTGCTTCAGTGGGGCCATGACTTGGTTTCTAGGCAGTTCAAAGCAGGAAATGTTAAGTAACACTCACCATCAGAAAACTCTCAGCAGGCCAGGGACAGGAGTCCAACAGGGCTCCTACTGCAAATGGAGTTGCTAAACACATGTTCAAAATGGAGATGTGGGGCTTACTGAGCTTTCAAACCTTCTAGAACATCCAAGGTGGGCTCTCACTCCTCCTGTGACACATTTCCATGCTCTGCTTTTTCTGCTCATGCAGAATTGTGGCGGTTGCTCTGCCTGCAGGGAGCCTGTCACCCTCTCATATATCCACTGTAGCCTTCCACCACATTGTGACCACAAAGCGAACACGAAGCAAACCCTCTCTGGCCATTTTGTCCTGGGTATGACAGCAGCCTGATTTCTTCACCTTGAGGCCGGCCAAGAACATTCAGAGTCATAAGCTAGTTTTCATCAGAATAGCATAAGCAATGTCTGAAAGATGGAATTTTGAACTTATTTCTTTTCTTTTCTTTTTTTTTTTTATTTTTTTGAGGCTAGGTCTGGCTCTGCCACCCAGGCTGAAATGCAGTTGTGCCATCTCAGCTTATTGCAAACTCTGCCTCCTGGGCTCAGATGATCCTCCCACCTCAGCCTTCATAGTAGCTGGGACTACTGGGATTATAGGCATGAGCCACCACGCCCAGCCTTGAATTTAGCATTTTTAAAAAGAAAAGAGTATAAGGCAAATAGCTGGATGGAATTTTATCTTACTTTAAGGAATGTTAAGTGGCAGAAGGTGCATGGGAATATTTTTTCTATTTTAATGATATATATTACTTAATTTCTCCTTTATGTGGTGATATTAAACCTTACGACTTCTTTGCCTCCACTCAATTTCTCATATTCATCTACACTTCCTTTTTCCCAGAAAAGATCTCCAGGAACAAAGGAACATTGTAAGTTACATGTACCTGGCCAAAGGTAGAAACACATATAATCAGGCCCAGAATTAAATCTGGCATACTTGGACTCAGTTAACAAATAGCTTTTGAATGTCAGAACTGTCTATGCCTTTAAATGCAATATATATGCTTGCTAATAATTGGCTAATTTTATGTATATGTGTAAACCAAGCATAAATTATGTCCTTTACATATAAATATACTCCTTGGTGTTCTTTAAAAAAAAAGAATAGTTGTTGGATATAGGAATTCAGCTAGTATTATAATTTTACATTCCTTCATGACCAAGTTTCATGTGAACTTCATTTCTTAGCAGAATTAGTGTTGAAATATCTCTCCTCTGACTTAGAAATCTTAAATAAGATACAAGCTGTACATTCAGATACCAGGAAGTGCATTTCTAGAATAGTATGTATCAGTTCAGTCTACCAACACTTCTTACTTTTTTTTTAGAGCAACATTGTCCTGTCCACTTACACAAATTAACATGAACATATTTGACAGAAGCAAGTTTGCCTGCTACTGTGGGAAGCAAACAGGAAACAAACAAATAAACAACAACAACAACAAAAACCATTGTTCATCGTTTCATGCCTCTAGGCATCTGAGAAGTGAGCTTTGCTTTTTCTTGTTTCCATGGGGTTATGGCCGTCCATTGATCCAGGCCCGATGCTCTGTGTGGCACACAAGGATTTCAATTCTCAAAAGAATTCAATCTGGAAAGGGGAAAAGGAAAGAGAGTGACAAGAAGTGATGATGAATAACGTAGCAGATGTGTAATGGGACAAGATGTGAGTGTCACATTTTTGGAGAAGGGAATTGTCATGTGCTAATGGAAGAAATTATTGAGTGCGTGACTAGTACAGGGGACCTCTCAAGCCAGACTTCCTCAGACTGAAGTCTAATTTTACTATCTGTCACTAGCCACCTCAGTCAAAGATTTCAAGGTAAAAATTCACCCGACTGAAACACGCACTGCTAAAATGGTGACAATAAAGGGTGTAAGAAATGAAAATCTCTCCAATATTTGAGTAAGTCCTACATTATCTACAATTTTCCTGCCAGAAGAAAAAATCCTTCTTTCTGGCAGTGTTAGCATATAAATGAAGATAAATTAGGACCCCCATTATTCGGAAGCTCTGGAAGTTCCAAAGGCCTGTTAACCTAAAAATAGCTGCTAAATTCTAACTTCAGATTAGCAATGAATAGCTTTTAGGATGACCACGTCTCATGCACTAAAATACATCCTGTATTTTATCTGGCAACCCCACTTAAAAATATTTTTAAAGCACATAAAGTTTAAAAATATTTTAAAGCACATAAAAATAAAAACAATTTCCCAGATATAGAGTAGTAAAATGCCCCTGTTCACTAAATTTATTGGAAAGTCTTTCACATATGGAAGCTTGTTTTAAAAAGAATTTTAAAAGGCATTAACTTTTAGAATCTTTGTCCTTTAAGAAGGTCTGATTTTACTCTTTTTTAAAAAATTGACATAATTCTATTCTAGTACTTTGTTAACTGCCTTTATATCATGCTAAAGTAGAATGCTAATTTGAGTTTGAAATACAGTGGCTAATAGAGCTAAGAAAACACATTCATCATCATTCTCTGGTATTTTCTAGTGTCTTCTGGTAGCTCCCACTCATCCCCAGAGTAGCCAGGTAGAACTTGAATCCTGGAATGGAGACTTGTATCTTTGCTCTTCAGTTAAGCTGCGTCAGTGGCTTCTTGTACCCCAGTTCCTGTGGGAATCTTGTATCATAAGCATGTAGTAGTGAAAAAGCATGTATGTATTTCTGTGGCTTGTTTACATACGTCTGTGTATGTTTAACCGGTGTTCCCACGGTTCAAATCAAATGTAACCTTCATGAGGCTGACAACAGCTGTTGAACCTCCACTGTATTTCCTTCCAGTGTTTTGCCCAGTACTCTGCACTTTGTGTGTTCAATAAACGCTGTTACTGACTTCCACTGTGCACCTGTGCTTCCGGCGCCCTCTCTGTCCACAGTTGTGATTCCCAACAAGGAAAGGCACATTCTTGGGGAGGTGGAGGGGCATGGCAGCAGAATTTCTAGAAGAATTTTTCCAACTCTGGTGTATCCCCATCCAAGATTCTAGGTGTAAGCATTTGCTGCCTCCCCTTTTCTCTCCTTGATGTGTGTGTGGGGAGAGGGTGAATGTAATCAAAGTGATGCCATTGGGCTGGAGGAGGTCCCCAAATGCCGGTGGGACCTGGACCCCAGCTTGTGTCCAGGCTGTTGACACCATCACAAGAAGGAATTCAAGGACAAGTCAGAAAATAGTGAGCGTATAGAGATTTATTGCAAAGGGAAAACTACACACTCAAGAAAAGGGGCGGTGGGTGTGCTCAAGACAGAGACACACAATGGAGTTTCGGGTTGCTACCTCTACTCTATGGGTTTCTTTTCTTTTTTTTTTTTTTGACATAGTTTCATTCTTGTAACCCAGGCTGGAGTGCAGTGGTACTATCTCAGCTCACTGCAACTTTTGCCTCCTGGGTTCAAGCAATTCTCCTGCCTCAGCCTCCCAAGTAGCTGGAACTACAGGTGCACGCCACCACACCCAGCTAATTTTGGTATTCTTAGTTGAGACAGGGTTTCACCATGTTGGCCCGGCTGGTCTTGAACTTCTGACCTCAGGTGATCCGCCCTCCTCAGCCTCCCAAAGTGCTGAGATTACAGGTGTGAGCCACTGCGTCCGGCCAACTCTATGGATTTCTTTAACCAAGGGGTGGAATATTCATGAAGATTCCTGGAAAAAAGGTGGAGATCTCTCAAAGCTGTGATGCCACCCATTTTTACACCAAATATGGGTGGTCTCAGAGCTGTCATGGCACTGGTGGGTATGTGTTTAGTATGTTAATGAGTGAATAATGAGGTCCTAGGTGAAATCTAGTCAGATCCAGCACCATGTTGGATGCAGTCAGTCTTAGCCAGCTTGGTCCACACCCTGGTTTTCAGGGTCTCATCAGCCCATAGCCTCTGTGGCTATTTCAACAGTTTCGTTTTGCTAGTCATGTGAAACTGCTGCCTGCAATTTTCTGTTCTCCTGAGACCACCCTGTATTATTCCTGTCTCAAAAGATGTCACAATGGGAGGGTGTTGCACCTGTGCATGCTGTGAAGCCACCGATGGAAGAGGGCTGGGAGCCTGTGGTCTCTAGTATCCCTCAGCTTAGAGCCTCCTGCCCTCATTCCCTTTAAGGAAAACAGTCAAAAACCATCAACATGTGTCTAATCCATACTAAAGTATCCAGTTCACTCATTAGCAGTGATAAATGTTGTCAAAGCCACATGGCTTGCTTGGCCCTTCCCTCCCATCCATCTGCTCTCCCGCGGGGCCTCTCTGGGGACCGCTGGGAGACTTTCTGGGCCACCTGAACCCATGCTACATCTGCCGACTCCCGGTGGCTGGCTCTGCTCCAAGCATGGCACTCCCCTCCCTCTGCCTCCTTGAATTGGATGTTTCTGACTTCCCTGGCTTCCTGGCCCCCCTCAAGTATAACACAGAGCCTCCTGGTTTCCTAAACCTGATGCCACAGCCCAGGGCCAGCCTCACAACTCCAAGACGCACCTCAGGTCTTGGAAACCCAGCCCAGGTGGAATTTCAGATCCTCCTTGCCTAGGAAGAGAAGTCAGACAAGTATACATTATTCAGCACTTAGCATTGTTCACAGAACATAGCTCAATACACATTTCAGGGAATGAGTAGATGAGTGAATCAACCAATACACTGAATGGCATTGTTCCTTGATGCCGGTTCTTTCCTGGTGTCTTCGGGAAGGGCATGCCTTCCCAACCAAGAGGCTTTCGTGCGGAGGGTGCAGCAGTGCATGATAAAGGAGGCAGTTGATTGGGCAATTGCGTTTCCAATCGTCCTCGCTGTATGTTATGTCTGGTAAATTTTGCTTTTGAATTCACTGACCATAAAAGCCACTTCTATGAGAAAAGAGGATATACTCTGGACTGGAAATTCGAAAGTCTGTATCCCAGTCTCAGCATCTATCACTAACTTACAGTGTGGCTCCAAGCAAGTCAGGCGCCTCCCTGGGTATCAATTTCCTCTTGTACATAATGAGGGACGAGGGGTTGTGGATCTGATCCTGTGTGACTCAGTGGGTCAGAATGTGCTACCCTTGATTGGGTGCAGTGGCTCATGCCTGTAATCTCAGCACTTCAGGAGGCCGAGGTAGGAAGCTCACCTGAGGCCAAGAGTTCAAGAACAGCCTGGGCAACATAACAAGACCCCATCTCTATGAAAAAATACAAAAATTAGCCAGGCCTGTGGCATGCACCTGTAGTCCCAGCTACTTGAGAAACCGAGGTGGGAAGATTGCTTGAGCCTAGGAGGTTGATGCAGCAGTGAGCGAAGTTCATGCCACTGCACTCCAGCCTGGATGACAGAGCGAGACCTCACCTAAAAAAAAAAAAAAAAAAGTGTGCTACTCTTTTACTATTCCACACCCTCCCTTAATTACATTCGCTTCCCATTGACTTTGCAATCAGGGGAGCTCCTTGACACC